GGATCGGGTGGCGTAGTGGTAGCCCGCTTGCCTTTCACCAAGGCGGCCAGGGTTTGATTCCCTGACCAAATGTGAAAAGGTTTGGGGTCAATTTCCAAACTACATGGGTTTTCTCCTGGTACTCCGGTTTCCTCCATCATTTAAAGGCCTCTGCACGCTGACATCTGAACCAACAAGAGTGATTAATATAAATTGAAATAACTTGTTTCACAATTGCTGTAAAATAAACCAAGTTTATATCTAGTCATTAGATTCACTGACTATCTGATCTGTTTAGGGATTTGGCAGCTCGTAACTGTCTGGTGGGAGACAGCAATGTTGTGAAGATCTCTGACTTCGGAATGTCTCGTGAGGAAGAAGAATACACTGTATCAGAAGGGCTCAAACAAATCCCTATCAAATGGACCGCTCCAGAGGCCCTCCTGTACGGTAGGTACAACTTAACCAATCAAATGGACTGCTCCAGAGGCCCTTCTGTACGGTAGGGACAACTTAACCAATCAAATGGACCGTTCCAGGGGCCCTCCTGTATGGTAGGTACAACTTAACCGATCAAATGGACCGCTCCAGAGGCCCTCCTGTATGGTAGGTACCACTTAACCAATCAAATGGACCGTTCCAGAGGCCTCCTGTACGGTAGGTACAACTTAACCAATCATATGGACCGTTCCAGAGGCCCTCCTGTATTGTAGGTACCCCTTAAACAATCAAATGGACTGCTCCAGAGGCCCTCCTGTATGGTGGGTACAACTTAACCAATCAAATGGACTGCTCCGGAGGCCCTGCTGTATGGTAGGTACAACTTAACCAATCAAATGGACCGTTCCAGAGGCCCTCCTGTATGGGAGGGACAACTTAACCAATCAAATGGACTGCTCCAGAGGCCCTCCCGTATGGTAGGTACAACTTAACCAATCAAATGGACCTCTCCAGAGGCCCTCCTGTACGGTAGGTACAACTTAACCTATCAAATGGACCGTTCCAGAGGCCCTCCTGTACGGTAGGTACAACTTACCCAATCAAATGGACTGCTCCAGAGGCCCTCCCGTATGGTAGGTACAACTTAACCAATCAAATGGACCTCTCCAGAGGCCCTCCTGTACGGTAGGTACAACTCAACCAATCAAATGGACCGCTCCAGAGGCCCTCCTGTATGGTAGGTACCACTTAACCAATCAAATGGACCGTTCCAGAGGCCTCCTGTACGGTAGGTACAACTTAACCAATCAAATGGACTGCCCCAGAGGCCCTCCTGTATGGTAGGTACAACTTAACCAATCAAATGGACTGCTCCGGAGGCCCTGCTGTATGGTAGGTACAACTTAACCAATCAAATGGACTGCTCCGGAGGCCCTCCTGTATGGTAGGTACAACTTAAACAATCAAATGGACCGCTCCAGAGGCCATCCTGTCCGGTAGGTGCGACTTAACCATTCAAATGGACCGCTCCAGAGGCCCTCCTGTATGGTAGGTACCACTTAACCAATCAAATGGGCCGTTCCAGAGGCCCTCCTGTACGGTAGGTACAACTTAACCTATCAAATGGACCGTTCCAGAGGCCCTCCTGTACGGTAGGTACGACTTAACCAATCAAATGGACCGTTCCAGAGGCCCTCCTGTATGGTAGGTACAACCTAACCAATCAAATGGACTGCTCCAGAGGCCCTTCTGTACGGTAGGGACAACTTAACCAATCAAATGGACCGTTCCAGAGGCCCGCCTGTACGGTAGGTACAACTTAACCTATCATTTGGACCGTTCCAGAGGCCCTCCTGTATGGTAGGTACCACTTAACCAATCACATGGACCGTTCCAGAGGCCCTCCTGTACGGTAGGTACAACTTAACCTATCATTTGGACCGTTCCAGAGGCCCTCCTGTATTGTAGGTACCACTTAAACAATCAAATGGACTGCTCCAGAGGCCCTCCTGTATGGTAGGTACAACTTAACCAATCAAATGGACCGCTCCAGAGGCCATCCTGTCCGGTAGGTGCGACTTAACCATTCAAATGGACCGCTCCAGAGGCCCTCCTGTAAGGTAGGTACCACTTAAACAATCAAATGGACTGCTCCAGAGGCCCTCCTGTATGGTAGGTACAACTTAACCAATCAAATGGACCGCTCCAGAGGCCCTCCTGTATGGTAGGTACCACTTATCCAATCAAATGGACCGTTCCAGAGGCCCTCCTGTACGGTAGGTACAACTTAACCAATCAAATGGACCGGTCCAGAGGCCCTTCTGTACGGTAGGTACAACTTAAACCCCATTTTAAAGAATATTAAAATCAAGCTCTACACTCGATGAGATCTTGTAGGTCCAACAGTCAAGGTTGAAGGGTCAAAGGTCATGCTTGAACCTCTTTTGAAATAAAAAAGCTTATGTTCAATATATCTCGTGAACCCTTACACATATTTAGCTTTTCTTTACACAATATTATTGTAACATAAAGTTCTATAACTTATTAGATTTCGATGGTCAAGGTCAAAGGGTCAGAGGTCACACTTGACCACTTTGAAGTAAATAAGCTTAAATGTACAAGATATCTCACGAGCCATTTAACAGATTTTGCTTATCATTACATCATAGTATGGTTATATCAAGCTCTACACCCTGATAAGGTTATTGTTGGTCATTAATTAAGGGCGAAGGGTCAACGGTCATACTTGACCACGTTGAAGTGAAAACCTTTTGTACAAGATATCTCATGAATATGTCAATATATTTAGTTTATATTTACACCATAGTGTGATAATATCAAGTTCACTTGATAAGATTTAATTTTTTTAAGGTTGAAGGGTCAAAGTCTCCCTTGCCAACTTTTGTTGGAGGTGGGAGGGTGTTTCTATGTGTGCTGTCACTCACTTTGTTAATATTTTGTTTATAAAATATCATAAATATACTGTAGTAGATATGACAATTATTGTATGCTGCCCATCATACAAATATTGATTTTTTTGCTGATCAATCAAATCTCAGGTAGCGGTGTACAGTAGCGTACGGTGGCCATGGGTGATATTTTTGTACAATGAATAACCCATGTAATATTACACGTATCAAAGTTTAATAAACAAATCAACACTAAAATTGGCATATACATGATGAAGTGGGCTATATATATGTGGGCTTCACATTTAAAAACAAACGAAAAATCGAATTTGTTTTGAGATTTCATTTTTGACCATTTACAAATCTGTGTCTACACATCAAAAGCTAGCTTTTCATGTAGTCTATGCACATGTAGTCTCAGCACATGTGTAAATATTGTGAAAAATCCAGTTGAACGACCTGTGCTAAAATGTGATTATTTCTGTTACCAAGTAGGTGATATTCAATTTAAGACAGGTTTTAAGAAAAAAAAATACTGCTTGCATGGGTAAAAATTTGGGTTAAAAACATGTTTTTTCACATTTTTTGGCGTGTTTTGATGTGGTAACCATGGTTTTCACAATTCCTAAATCTGGGGAAATCACTTTTTGAAAACAAATTAATTCTTCTAAAAAAAATGTATTCAAAATGTAGTTTATAAATATATGTATATGTAACAGTCTCATAAGTCACAAGATGTTGTGGGTTCAATGGTATTTTTATTACGTGTAAATAAAACCCTAGAAAACAAAACAAATTCAAACACATTAATTATATACAATGGTCACATATCTCCAAATGACAGAAAAATTCACCCTGCCACATATATATGTAGGTGTGTTGTGCAGGATAAATTCGCTATCCACGTTTATCTGAGACATGCCCTTTATTTTAAGGATCAAGCCATTTCTACTGTACTCTGCTACCTCAAGACTGCAGACCTTGGATATTACTTTCATTTCAACATGTATCAAAACCTCATGTGTACACTTTCATTGAAGAATGAACTACATTTAGGTGTTTTCTTGTTCCGTAGGTAAATACACATCCCTCTGTGACGTGTGGAGCTTTGGAATCCTCATGTGGGAGGTTTTTGCCTTCGGTCAAACTCCCTACTCTGGGATGAGTAACAACCAAGCCAGGGAGAGAGTGGACGGTGGTCAGTATCATTGCATAACTATAATGACCAGTGTCCAGTTATACAATATTAGTTATCTCTGGGTTAGGAAGGGTCTACAGGTTCATAAACCCCCGCCTAACCCAGAGATAACAAATTTGCCAACCGACAAACTTTTATTACTTTTTTTTTCTGCTAAATGATAAGTCACTTACAGTAGTGTGTTTGAGTTGTACTTGACTGCTACAAAATAGCCCATAATGGCAGCGTTTGGGCAATATTACAGACAATTTACAGCCATCTTTGTAATTAGCATCCTAGCGGCTCTCTCATTGCTGAATTTGCTGTCGTTGCTTGTAGCCTATTTTATCCTGTGAATGATTGGCAAATATCGAATGCATGAGTGTGGCGGACGCCATCTTTGTTGTTACGAAGGGAGATTCTAGTTTTTGAGTTATCTCCTCTTGCACGTGCTTTGAAAGACCCCATCCAATCAGAGAGAGTGTTACAAATTAGAAGGGTGACAATTTTGTATACTGTTAATATTTCTAAACATTTTCTTCAGGTTTGTAAATATGGATTGTGAAAAGATTCATGTAGCACAACCAAGAAGTGTTTATATGTGACGTTTCAATGACTAGTACGGTACATACTCTGTCACCTTCCTCAGACAAATGCCCAGTGAAGTGTATGTACACAAAGGTGTAAAATATGTACGAGTTTCCACAGATGGATGTCGATTCGGCTACGCTGTAAGCGTATGTACAATTAGTTGTTATATATGTACCGAAATGACTCGATTCGGCTACGCTTTGTTTGATACTTGGTCGAAACGTCACACATAAACGCTTACTGGTTGTGTTACAGGAACCTTTTCACAGAGTATGCTGTTAACTTTGTGATTTTTGAGATTTGTTAGTAAAGGTTTTATACTGGATTACTGTAACGCGGGAAACTTTCACCCTGGCAAAGATTCGCCCTTTGCCGATAAAATCTATGCTTGCCCTTTGTTAATTTCACCCTTCACATCTAATTACTATATATTGTATGTTGTGCACTAAAAGTCGCTGTCAGGATAAATTTGCCCTTGTTGGCGAGGACGAAAAAAAGGCGGAAGTCAAACTGCGACAAAAAATTCCTGGTATACAGTAGTATATTTTTACTGTCGTGTTACACATTCAGAATCTTGTAACTTAACCCTTTCACCACTGTAGACCATAATGGACTCATCTAGGTCAATGCATGGTAGAGTCTACTAAAGTTACAAAGGGGTGAAAGGGTTAATTGTTGATTAGATATCCACAAGCAGTTTTCTACTGCATGGTATCATAGGAGTAAATGTTGGCCCCTATGGAATCAGGGAATTTCTCATGCATTTCAATGAATTGGCACAACCATAAATATAAATATAAACTTTATTATCCACTCGCCACGAAAGTTTGAGGGGATATAGGAATATACATATGTATGTTACACTCTTTGTCATCGCTCTAGCGACTTCATTTCTCAACGGATTTTCAAGATACGTTATACAAGTGTGAAGTATGACAATACCTTGAAGAAGCTCGCGTTTCGGGATTCTACGTTTAAGGTCAAGGTCACTGTTACTATTTTTAGAAAAACTTTCTTATCGCTCTACAGATTTTATTCCTCAACAGAATTCCATGATACTTGATACAAGTGTTTGATATAGCAATGCCTTGAACAACTTCGCGTTTCAGGTTACTGTGTTAAAGGTCAAGGTCAATTTTACAATTTTTACCAAAAACTTTGTCATCGCTCTAGCGACTTCATTCCTCAACAGAATTTCATGAAACTTGATACAAGTGTTTGATATGGCAATGCCTTGAACAAGTTCGCATTTCAGGTTACTGTGTTAAAGGTCAAGGTTACTTTTACTATTTTTAGAAAAAACTTTGTCATCACTCTAGCGTCTTCATTGTCACAATGTATGTAATGCCTTGTTTATTTTACAACAATTATGAAACAAGTTAGTTCAACTTAATATATTAATCATTCTATAATATATTATGTGATAGAAAACAATATAAAGAAACTTAAGTTAGTGTAATAATGAATTAGCTCAACATTCAAAGTGAAATTTGCTAAAATAAGATGCCTGCTTAATTACATTTAGGTATATTTACAGTATTTTGATATTGTTTTATTTTTCACATTTCAGGGTACCGGATGCCACCTCCAGAAGGCACTCCAGAATCAGTATACAAGTTAATGCTCAGGATATGGGAATATGATACAGCCAAGAGACCGCACTTCGCCGAGATCATGAAAGAGTTGTCTAGCATTATCAAAAAGTTATAATGGCAGTTGATTATTAATCAAAATATATTTGTTAAATTATTAAAACTTTGAATATCTTAAACCAACAATCTGTCAGCGATTTTGTTACAGATAATAAAAGAAAAAAAATGAAAGGATGATTTGAATCCCTTTATTGGTATCATGTCTGCTTGCTGTATCCATGAATATGAAAGTACACCTTGATTGCTCCAGTCTACCCAGTTATAAAGATGGACAGCAGTGTGTACTTCACTCGATTGCTCCAGTCTACCCAGTTATAAGGATGGACAGCAGTGTATACTTCACCCTGATTGCTCCAGTCTACCCACTTATAAAGATGGACAGCAGTGTATACTTCACTCAGATTGCTCCAGTCTACTCACTTAGAAAGATGGACAGCAGTGTGTACTTCACCCTGATTGCTCCAGTCTACCCAGTTATTAAGTTGGACAGCAGTGTGTTGGGAAATGTAGGACATTATATCGAAGTTTATCTGTATAGAGATGTACAAGTTAGAATTGAAGTGTTGAAAGTTCCGAAGATTGTTGGTTTATGATATTTTGATGATATTCTATTCCTGTTTTCACTCGAATTACACAGTTAGTCCCAAGGACGAAGTTAATGTTGAGTTGTAATATAAACTGATAATGTCTGACGTGAAATGTAATATAATGTCTGACGTGAAATGTAATATAATGTCTGACGTGAAATGTAATATAATGTCTGACGTGAAATGTAATATCGAGTTGTACTTAAGTGATTGTGTATGGCAACAAGTGTATAATTTCAGACTTGCATCGATCGTGATAGCTATGTAAACAATACCCATCACTCACAAACGCTTCGCAGATTCCAAAAATTTCAGGAAATTTTGGAATATGACTGAGTGATTCATTAAAAAATGTAACGATTTGTACAATTTTTCCTCAAGCATTAGTTTAGTGGTTGTGAATGCTTGTGGAAAAATTATCAAAGATAATTAGCTTGATTGCAATGACAATTAGTATTGGTATTTTTGTTGTTTTTATTTTGTAGACATGTACTTAAACTTTGTACTGTCGTGATAGCTGTACTTAGTGATATTTTTGTGCTGATGATATTACAAGTTATGTGTTATGTAATATTGTTATAATATTGATTTTATGAATGAAGCTAAAAAGTTTTTTCAAAGAATCATAAACTTCTCATATCATTTTATCAAGGTTGACTTGTAGAGAAATTACGAAGAGCACAGGAGCGTGGCACACATCCCCCACCCCATGGGGGATGTGTGCCATCATAAACTTCTCATCATTTTATCAAGGTTGACTTGTAGAGAAATTACGAAGAGCACAGGAGCGTGGCACACATCCCCCACCCCATGGGCAGTATATATATGTCCTGTGATACAGACACGGACCATTTGCGTGGGGATCTGTTTCATGCCTATGTGACAAAAACAGGAAGTGTCGTTTAATGATTGGTTTTCACTGTATGGTACAGAAACTATATTGTACAATAATTTTACCAAGGTCGATTTTGAAAGCATTGTTTTTTTCATTGTCAAAGTCTGCTTTTACATCACAAAAGTGAATATTTCAAAAACAAAAAAATCGTAAAATTTCTACGAAGACTAATCTGAAAATTGCATGCTCAATGCCAATCTGCCTGCTTATTTATCACAAAGTGAAATATCTCTAGTAAAATTTTTGTAAAATTTCTACGAAGACATCTTGAAACTGCACGCTCAATGCCACTTTGGGGGTTTTCAATATATACACAACAATTAATGAATCACAAAATCATATTTGATATTCATTTCTTTTTCTTTTGAACTATTTCAAAAATGGAGCCTTCAAATAAATTCATCCAGACATCAAAATTATAAGTAAAGCAACATTTTTTATTATCTTCATTATATGTTTTTGCTAATCAGACTTACATATTGTCAAAGATGTATCACATTCACTGTGTACGTGATTCAGGGAAAGTTGTTCGGGATGTAATAATGAATGCTTTTTAGCTTAAAGTTTAGGTTGTGGTAACTTGTTATCTGTTATATACTAGATATTGTAATTGCTGGACTTTTATTCAATGCTTTTGTAATTATGACGACATATGTTGCGACCTATACTAGTTCTTAGAAACAGGATAATATTTGAAATACTCTAATGACTCATTCACGCCGGAAATTTCATAATGAACTATTCCAGTCTAGAATTGGAAGAGTTCAAATGTGTCTTTAGGGGTGAATGAATTAAATTGGCAGAACTTGGACTTAAAATTGGTTTTCAATTATGACGCAATTATGTTCAGAAAAATTATACATTTTAAAAATGGCATATTGTTTTTTTCTACTTTAATTTTACAAGTTTCTACATGGATTGGTAATGTATAGCATATTTTTTCATTGACATTATGAAGATATTCCTCAGTTTTTCATTATGAGAAAATAAAGCACTTTTATGCAAGTATTTTGCTGTAAAATCAAATGTTCATCTTTCAATGTTACTTTACAGCAGATATTTTCTATTTTAACTTTTTCACCCCTGCAGACACATTTTAACTCTACCAATTCAAAGGTTAGAATAGTTCATCATGAAATTTCAGGGGTGAAGGAGATAAAGTGACCATCAGTCAACACTACAAGAAAAGTCTGATCACCATGTATAGCCATATTTCTGTTAAATCTTTTTAGATAATTTTAAATAATGATTTCATTCTACATAACGCACAACACACATCAACAAATTGACCATGAAAGACTTACTATACTCAAAATTCTGACGCTTGTATAACAAGGGGGTGGGCCTAACAGCAGACATGGGCCTAACAGCAGACATCAGCAGACATGGGCCTAACAGCAGACATGGGCCTAACAGCAGACATGGGCTTATCACAGGGTTGTCATGTTATGTTAAATCAGAAAACTTGTTTTTATCACAGATACATTTTCAGGAACAAAAATATCAGGATCAGATAACGGTTCATTGTGCTTAATATATTTTGATAGATACATGTTTATATGTTTATACTAATATGTCCATAGTTAATACATTTCATATAAAAAATCTATATTTTCAGTCCCATAGATGAGTGCCTAGAAATTAAAAAATGTTTGCAGCATATTTTTTAGAGTATTTTATTATGTGTGTGATGCCTTAATATAATTCTGGTGGTCTGCCATTTTTTCTTCAATTAGATACCATAATGTTTTCTTTTTACTAATAGAGTTTTGACTTTGCCTTGAGGAAAATATTGTGTTCATCAAAATATTCAAATTATGTATAAGTATTTGTGAAAGTGAAAATTCATGAAAAAAAAAAAATAGAAAAAAGTTAATGCACATTATTGGTTAACCATCACACTAAAATAAGCAGTTTTTAAATAATATTTGATATACATTTTTAAAATATTGTTTAAATTAAAATAAAGACAGACTGAATGTAGAAGCTGTTAATGTCACGGTGGAAAACCATCTTTTATGTTACTTGGTACTCGACTTGAGGTAATTTCCTTTTATCTCAGCCAGGAGAGTAATGGACTAGTAACATGTAGTCAGGGGTTCGACTCCTAGCTGAGACACGTATAAAAGTGACCTGGTTAATCAGAAAATACATTTAATTTTTTGTGTGAATACGAAAACAAATAATGGGAAGTCATGAAACTATAAATTTCAACTTCTTTTTTAATCCACTTAGAAGTCAATAATAATAAGATTTTTTTTTTTTTATTAATTTTCCAGAAACTATGCATGAATAAATTTATGTTTTATAAAGCAACACATACCTGGTAGAATATTAACAAAAATAACACCTTGTTGTTTATAGTTCCACACTTAGCCCTTTCACCCCTATGTAACTTTAGTAGACTCTACCATGCATTGATCAGGATTAGTCTATTATGGTCTACAGTCGTGAAAGGGTTAGTACAAATTAAATGGCGTAGTAGAATTTGAACTTTAGCAGTGTGTTCCATTTAGCAGAACATTCCAGATGTGCAGACACCAACCAGACAATCCTTTAAATGAAATGTGACGTTCTGCCAGAATGAACCGGTTTGGCGGGAACGTCTCATTTGAGGGTACCAAGTTGGATCCAATATGGCCGCCCTTGAAAATGCTTTCGCTTCAGATGTTCACCACATTTTATAATGGGTTTAAGTATAACAAGCTAAACTGTATTTAAGCAGTCTAAAACACTATTACCAACTCCAAGCAATGTCAGCGTACCTAAATCTTTTAAGTTTTAAAACAGTAATCTGTATTTATATTTATTTATTTTTGCGTCAGAGCAGTTTTTTTGTTTATTCCAGAAAAATTGTTACTTTTAAGTTAAGACAGTAATCTGTATTTTAAAAAAAATAAAAAAATGGTCAGAGCAATTTTTTTTGTTTATTCCAGAAAAATTGTTCCTTTTTCCTATTAAACTATTAGATTTGCACGTACAGGAACATAATTTGGAATGCACTGATCCATTTAAAAGACCAGTTCCAAGTTGGCACAAATAGAACTTTTTGTTAAATGGAATGCACTAAAGGTTTTAGATAAAATTGTAATTCAGCATTGTATCTTGTTCATTGTTGATAAATAGCTGTGATATGTAACTAAATAATACCGGTACATGTAGTCTAGTGTTTTGTTAGATATGTGTGTGCTCACAGAACAAGCCTTCACAAATTAAATTCTCACTTCTCACTTTGTAATTAATCTGATTTATGTAGCTGTAGAAATTATCATGTGATTTGACAATGATTTTTACATGTTTTAATTAAACTGAAAATTGCCTTATCTTAGTTTCTTAGATAAATTAATTAGAAAAATCTTTTAACTCTTTCACCATTGTAAACCATAATGGGCTCATCCATATCAATGCATAGTAGAGTCTACTAAAGTTACATAGTGACGAAAGGGTTAAATGGTTTTATGACAGAAACAGGATACAGAGATATATATAAAGGGCTTTTTTGAATAAAAAATCAAAAGATATTTTTTTTACATTACAAATTTTAGCAAAAGAATTACACTATTTAATCAGTACGAATTTAAAATTCAACTTTTTTGATAGTTAAACTTTCCTCTTTCTTGCTGAAACCAATATTAATGGATGAAACACAATTCCTTTTAAAAAAGGAAACATGTTTTGCAATGTTGTTATCATTATTGCATTTTCTAAATAATACCAATTTTCGAATTTTGAAAGAGTGTTTTCTTCATAAAAAGCTAGAAAAAGCCCTGATATTTGTTAGCTAACAAGTTTCTAGATTTTACTATGCAAATTGAGGAGGCAGCATAATTAGATTCAAAGTTTCATTTTCATTTTCCGGGAACTGATCAAGCATATTTGTATCTGTGTACAGTGAAATTAACCTGTTAAATCTGACCCCTGTGTTTTGAGACATACTGTCCAATCTGACATACAATCGCAATGCTATTTCTTACAAAAGTACTATTGAGACCTGAGAATACTGACACTGTCTTGTCCAGCTAATTGGTTGGGTCCCTAAGGTGTCAGGTTAGGCAGGTTTCACTGATTGTATGATCACATAGCTATCATACGTTCATTAGTATCATAGTTAACCATTTATTAAGCCTTAACGAATTCTTAAATTTTTAAAGTGCAATAAAATAGTGTAGATTCAAGTCCAACTTTCTTTTTCCAGTAATTTAATGGAACTGAAATTTTAAATCTTTAATTACAGATATGGGGTTTTGAAAAAGAGTTTTTTACTCATTCCCCCCTGAAATTTCATAATGAACTATTCCAACCTTTGAATTGGTAGAGTTCAAATGTGTTTTCAGGGGTGAATGAGTTAAAACCTTCCATTGAGTTATTTGTTAGGCAGAAAGTTAAGCTTATATTACTTACCCTGAATGTTTCAAGCTAACTTTGCTTGTATATATATATATATGGGTCAAAGAAGTAATATATATATATATACCCCGAGTTTGTCAAGCTTATTGTTGCTTTCATTCGCCTACAGAATATGGTTGCCTGTGATTATATTATAATAGTTTTATATTCTTTTGCCTCGTTGAATAGAGTTTTATCATGGAACCTATAAAAATATGCCTGACCATGACTATCGTGAGCTTATCCAGTTGACTTTGTTTCAAACTCTGGATCATTATAATTGTTCGATTCCAGAGTTTGAAAAAAATCTTCAATAAGATTCATCAGTTGGGAAATATGTGATATCAAAGTTTTACTTTCTACACAAACATTGTACGTATTTCAATTAAATTGAAAAAAAAATGTATGATTTTTTGGGAAAA